TTGCGATGCGCTGAAAACACATGTTGCAAGCGTATGTTTTAAGTGTTTTAGATGTTTCAGAGGTATGTTGCAAGTGTTTCATATAGGAGTTGCAAAAGTAGATCAGAATGTTGCATATGTTGCAATAGTTGTACATGTATGTTGTAAAGGTCTATTCCCAATGTTTCATTTGTGTTTTCGAACATATTGTTGCAAGTGTGTTTAATTGGATGTTGCATACATTACACACATATGTTGCAAGTGTTTTATCTAGATATTGCGTATGTTTGCAATGGTCTTTAAGTGTTTTTACGTGTTTTTGTAAGTGTTTTAGAAGCATGTTTCATGTGCTTTATCTGTCTTCTTTTGTATGTTTTAAATATTGCATTTGGATGTTTCAAAAGTAGATCGGGCGAGTGCAGCGGTTCTCCCATCTAGTCGGTGTTTCTTGGCTCCACGGTCGATTGACACAGCTCTCGAATGGTGCCTCCGAGCGGCCGGGGCCCGCATGGGTGCGCGATGGACGCCGGGCGCTAGCCATACCTACAATTTACAGCGTGCACTGTTTGCTTCCCTCTCATCCCTCCTCTTGTCTCATTCCCATATTAATAGAATAAGATATTTGGTGGCGCTTAATAATTCAAAGAGCATTGCGCGCGGTTGCAAATCATTAAGGAGATGTATCCTTATACAAGAAAAATAGAAGCATCCACTACAAGAGGGAACCTCCTAGGTTAGGGTATGTGATTAGGGTGATTCAAGAGGTTGAAGAAGATTACAAACTCGGACCACTAGAGATAGTGGGGCACGACTGGGTTGATGTCGTTGACCTCCCGAGCCATGAGCTTCGGGTGGTGCTTTGACACATTGGTGTTGACACCGATTCTGGTCATGCACTAGTAAGAGCTAACTTTTCCAAAGCCGCACACGATCTAGCACACCGCACACAACGAAGAGGGGTCAAAGCAGCAAGGCCGACTAACAGGACTATTGTGTGGTTTAGATGCCCGTTCTATGCTAGAGAAGCCCATGAAAACATTCCGGGAAGACCCGTTGAAAATGAGCACAACGGGGTTGCTTTAGGATCGACAAGACCGCCTAGAATGCCAACGAATTTTGTTGAGACACTGGACAACAGAAGGTTGGAAGAGTTAAAGGCACAAGAAAGTAGTAATAGATTGATTTTAAGTTGATTGTATATTGGGATATCTAAGTAATCCGTGATCCTCTAATGGGTGGTCTTATACTAGTAGAAAACATTCCCAAAATACAATTTGCATGTTCCCCCGAGATCGGAGGAGTTTGAATTGAACTTGGTTTGAATTGAGCTCGGACAACCAAAACTGGATCAGGCCTGCCTGGGCTGGTTTACATAGGGCTTGGTTGAAGCCGTAGAAATTGGACTAGGCTGGTTTTTACTAGATTTTGCCCGCTTTATCCAATTTTGGCCAAGTTTGATTCTTTTCACTTGTACTGGATTCCTACATTCAAATGTGACCCCTCTAACATGTTTTGTTGTGGCATATACCCCATTTTTAAACGAAATATATGGTTTAGAAACACACGACAACAATAGCAACGATGTCAACCCATCGGCTAACTTTGTTCTAAAGGTGACGCATGCATCGGCTGTTTTTTAAGGGCAATATACGTGTATGGGCTATTGTTTGGGCAACAATTATGCTTGTTGCCGAACACTTAAAAATATTTTATTTAAATACCTTCTGCTAGTTGCTCTTGGGAGACGACCATCTTGCAACGTCTCTAGCATATACGAGTTTCCAAAAACTGACTTGAACATTTTATATAGACCTTCTCAACTTAGAGACCACTTGCTAAACTTGTTACTTTTCCGTTTTGGCTTCGTAAATTCCTGGCTTACAATCTCTAATCTTGTCGGTGTTGTGCCCTTTATTGAACATCAATCAACGTTTTGGCTTCGTAAATTCCTAGCTTACAATCTCCAATCTTGACGGTGTTGCACCCTTTATTGAACATCAATCAAGCTTGCTTCTGTCCCCTTATATTCCAAAGTTGATTCTTCTTCTCTATCTGGTACAATTTTTGAACAAATTTCAACTCATAAACTCAAGTACAAGCAACTAAACTAATTCGGGTGATCATAAATCTAACAACCAAATACTACTGTCAACAAGTGTAAACACATCTGTCTCTATGGAATTGGATCTCGAATTATACCATACAAATAATAAACAAACAAATTAAATATAAAATGTCATAAATGAATAAGTATTTTTTATATAAAAATATTTTAAGAAAATAATTAAATTAAATTATACAAAAATAATATATGATAACAAGCAATTTAAAAAGTATTTAAATATAATTTATAATAACAAATACAAAAAGGTTCAAGCTAAATCAAAATAGCACTAATTCATACTTAATATTTATATACCAATATTAAATTTAATATACCTAGTCATTAATCAATCTTTATAGAGAACTTTTAAATAGTTTCAATGGATACAAAATCAGTAATATTAAAACAAATACTTAGTCATCGCAAAAATAACCTTTAAATAGTCTCATCATGTGCATATTTTTTGTAGACAGGGATAACAATCGGATATTCCATGATATGAAATCAGATAGAAAATGATAACGAAAAGCGGATTAAAATACATCTATTTTAGTATCCATATCAGAAGTGGATGCAAATACAGACATCTATATACAAGTTTTATTAAATATTAATCGGAACAAAATGAATACCGATGTCCCTGAAGCGCCCGTCTCTTATAATGTTATGTTCTACTTGTGCATGATCAATGAAGCTTGTCTTGTAAGTTCTGAAATTGTTGATCAGCAGCAACTCGCTGATGGAAAGGATCGACGACAGAGCCCGCTGCTCAAACTAAATGGTAACCTTGATACACCCTTGCTTTACAGAGCAGTCAAAACAACTACCTCCAGTCCGGACCCCTGGGCAAAATTCATCTGGAAAAACAACGCGCCACCTAGAGCGCAATTTTTTGGTTGTCTGCTATCACAATGCAAAGCAAATTTGGCTAGAAAGGGAATCGTGGAAAAACACCAGCGCATGTCTTCTTCGGCTGCACCGCAGCGAGAGAGTTCTGGGAAGCGATTCAGATCACAACTGATCGGTACCGAAGCTGCAAGAGATCACGGCACCTAAGCATATTCCAGCGAAACACTTTCAAACTTTTGTGTTGCTGTGCTGCTGGAACGATCGTACTACGCTTCAAGGAGCACTGATGGCTTGCAAGATGGGGGAGAGTACGTTTGCCGAAGAAAGACAGGGAAGTTGCTGATAAATGGTGTTCAATATTAGTTAACGCAATGTAAACGCTCAGTACAAAACCATGTAATGTTTTTCCAAACATTTGGCTTTCGGAGCCGCAATATGATACGAATCAGGTGGGGATCCCCGTCGACTTATCAAAAAAAGAAGAAGAAGAAGAAGAAGAAGAAGTTCTGAAATTCGTATTAGCATATCAACAAACTTCTTCTATTGAACCTGCAGATTTCAGAGGAATGCAGGGCTTGTGGCCAACAGTGTGCTTAAGAACCTGAATAAAGTTGGGATTCACTCGCTGCCTCGCCCCATTCCTGCCAGTCGAAGAAATGGTCGTTAACCGTGTGATCTGGCACTTGGGCTGGGATTCCTGGGCCTGCTGACGGCCCATGATATTTTTGGACTTGCGGGACGGCGACTTGGCCCAACAAGGCTTTGTACCTGTGCTGCTTGCGTCCGCCGGGCCAAGCGCAATATAAGCAGCACTGCCTCGCGCTTGCGCTGGGCAAAACCCTAGCAGCATCTCCTCTCCAGCGCCCGCCGCCACTGCGACCTCCTCTCGGTCCCGCCGTCCGTCGAGGTTAGTCTCCATGTCCCTTTCCCTCCCATCCTCCCGAACGATATCAGATCCGGCCTTTGATTCGGTTTCGCGATGAGGTGGTAGAGCGTGTCAGGTGATGCGGATGAGGCTGGCGGAGGAGGACGACGGTGGCGTTGCGCGCGCGTGCGCCTCGTCGGCTTCATGATTTATCCCTGCCCCTCCTGCTGCTTTGACACGATCGCGTTGATTCCTGATGCTCTTGTGCGTTCCCATTTAGGCTGCTATCGTGTATTGGGTATGTTGTGTTTTTCCACGATCCGTGAAGCGTCCCTCTCTTGTAATGTTGTGTTCTGTTTATGCATTATCGGTGAAGCTTGTCTTGTAATTCTGATATGCTGGCGTGATGGAAATCAATTCTTGGTTCTGGTCCAGGGAGGCTGTTAGTTAGTTTGTTAGTGAATAAGTACATCAGTCTGAAGGTGTTTGGTGCTGAGAGATCCCTCACTTTTTGGGTCTCCAGTTGGCAGCAATTTGGTGCTTGCTGATCAGCTGCGTAGGTGGTTTAGTGGTAAGTTTAAACCCTGTCCAAGACTGCTTAGAATAATATGAGTTGAGTTCTGGTAATTAGATGGTGCATTGTTCAAGGATTCTAGATCTTGTTGATCAAAGCAGTCTAATTGCAAACTAGATGATGAAGGGTGTGGAATACTGCTAGTGTTAATTTGATGATCTGTTGTTTACAAACTATAGCTTTGTCGTGTGCAATCTGATTGATGAAACAAACTAATGCACATGTGATGAGTAGTTAGTTTACAACCACCGGAACCGATATCATGGATAACATGTTATTATTGTTACATTGTCTCATATATTGGGCTGGCTTTGTACATACCCTTTTGTTATCTTTCTTCTGAGTATCAACTTTCAATGGTATGGATAATGTGGTTAAGCTTGTTGTTACCTCCTTTAGCAATGCATTTATTGACATGATTTCAATATAGCACTGGATGTTTTTTTTTGGGGGTGGGGGGTAGACGAATGTTTGTACTGAATAAGCAAACCTTTGCATCATTTTGCATTGATATAGCGACATGGTTACTTGTACCTTTGGTTGTGTTACATAGATGTAAATGGCTGTTTCCTATGCTACTGTGTCTGACATGGGACCCTTACAAATCTCTTTCTTCTGGTAAGGTCAGCATGGTGAGGGTCAGTGTGCTCAATGATGCGCTCAAGTCCATGTACAATGCTGAGAAGAGGGGGAAAAGGCAGGTCATGATCAGGCCGTCATCCAAGGTGATCATCAAGTTCTTGACAGTCATGCAGCGTCATGGTTAGTTCTCAAATCTTATGCCCCATTTCAATTGCTCTGTTCTGAGGACATGTCCCTGATTAGTGTTACATTATGTAGGCTACATTGGTGAGTTCGAATATGTGGATGACCACCGTGCTGGGAAGATTGTGGTGGAACTGAATGGAAGACTAAACAAATGTGGTGTTATTAGCCCTCGCTTTGATGTTGGCGTAAAGGAGATCGAAGGATGGACTGCGAGGCTGCTCCCATCTCGTCAGGTTAGTCCAGTCCGTTGTCTATAATACTTGTAGCATTATTTTCCTTTCACAAACTGATTTAAGTTGTTTGTACACACTGACTAGTACTAATTAACTATAGTGCTAATTGTGCTGTTTTGACTGGTATGTAGTTTGGCTACATCGTGCTGACGACTTCTGCTGGCATTATGGACCATGAGGAGGCCCGTAGGAAGAATGTTGGAGGCAAGGTTCTAGGTTTCTTCTATTGAAAGGAGTTTGGTGGAAGGACTGATGTATTCAAGAACTTGTCTGAGTTTGGTGGAAGGACTATGTATCCAATAACTCGTCTGAGCTTTTGTTTTTTTGGTCGGAATAGAGTGCTTTGTTAAGACTGGAATGTGTTATGTGCTTGAGAATTTGGGAACCATGATATGAGCTGTACCTGCAGTTAATTATTATGACCTATATGCCTGTCTTGTGTGTCTCTTGAACGAACTGAGACTCAGAGGAAAGAGAATGAGAAGCACTTTCCGGATATTGGTTTCGATTCGTGGGTTACAAACAGGTCCTTACTTGAATTCTGCATACTCCCTTTGTCACAAAGTATTTGATCTATAGGATTTAAATTTTGTTCAAAGGTGCTCACACTTTCACCTTTCTCTTCTCTTAATACACCTTTTTCATCTCTCATTCCTAAAACATCTTTTCACTTTTTCTTAATTCCGGTGTCCAAGTTTAAAACGCCGTCTTGTTCGTCGTCTAGAGTATAATATCTTTTTTATGCTGACTTTATTGGTGTGGCCTTGTTCGGTTATTCCTCGTTCCAAGGGGGTTGAAGGAGATGTTGACTTGCTAGGTATTTAAACCCCTTCTTCAATGCCCTACAATTCCCTTGCAATGATTTGTAACCGAACAAGACCTAACTAAACATGAAATGAAACCAACCCAACCTATTTTTTTTATTGGCGTCGGATTCAACCCACGTAGTCCCAGAAACAAACACACGCTAAGATTAGGAGTGGGTTTTGAAAACTTTTAGAGATTGCTTTTACTAAAAAGTACCCATCTATTGAGCAACAGGGTTTGCCTCTGCTAGTGGACACCGAAAGTGAGGTCGTTTTACTAGCAGACATCGAAAAAGATCGATCGCCGTAGTTTGTGTCAAATTTGCTAGAGGACACCGAATGCATTAAAATATTCATTTCTGATTCAAGAGGTGAGAGAACAGCAGTGAAATGACGTTTTTGCCCCTGACTCTTTTTCTTCCTCTCTCCCTCCCTTTTTTTCTGCTACCGCAACCTGTCCAGCGCGAGCCGGACGACCTTCCTTCACGCACCCTTGGCAACATGCGCCGGGGGCCACGGCCGGACGCTGTCGCTGGCCCACGTGCCCCGAGCTTCGAGGCCGGGCGCCGCCGCCACCCCATGCGCGTCGAACCGCACAACCAAGAGCCACAGCCGCCGTCGGATGCCCGCCGTCGAACGCCCTCGGCGCCGACCGCTTCGCCATGGTTATGTACGACGCCATGGGCGTTTGCCTGGACCCGCCGTTTGACCCGTATATGCCGGCCCCGTCAACTTCCTCCTCGCCTCCAACATATTCCCACACGTCACCGCGGTGATCCGGCTGCTGCTGTACCAGCGTGCCGACGAGGCTGTCCCGCCGCACCAGGGCCACACCGTCATGGACTTCACACGCCGGATCTTTGATTGGCGCAACCGGATGTCCAGGAGTGGCGCCAAGGACGAGGGGGTCAGGGTCGTAGACCGGTGGTAGGGCGCGGAGCAACACACCATCAGCAACATCCTCGGCGCCAGCGAGGACTCACTCGGGTTCCAGCGCACACCTGCGGAAAGGAGAGAGAGGAAGAAGAAAGAGCAAGGCGCAAATACAACATTGCACAGCTGTTCTCTCGCCTCATGAGCAAGAAATTAACATTTTTAATGCGTTTGATGTCTTCCAGCAAATTTGTCACAAACTAGAGTGTCTAATAGCAAATCGATCTTTTTTCAGTGTCTGCTAGCAAAGTGACCTCACTTCCCGTATCCGCTAGCAAATTTTGCCTATATACTTCATTAGTATTTATAATCTACATGAAAAACTATAGAACCTTGTGCTCAATTGGTTCTCGGATTTGTTTATCTTGGCGTCGTTTAACCTATAGATGCCTCCTCCATGTCATACAAATAGGCTAACCTCTGCTGCTGCTGCTGTAGGCTGACTCGGGGTCACGTACGGTAGCACCTTCCTTGCTCGATCTTCAGCTTTCACCATGACCGCGACCTACTTGCATTCAGATCTGATCATCATGGTTGGTTATGTACACGCTATGCCACACGCATAGAACAAAGTATATCAGATCTTGACACATGTAACTGAATATATGTTATTGTTTCATAGTAAAAATATATTCAGCGAATAAATGTATACATAGTATGGAGAATCATAATGTACAACACTCGGAGATCAACTATATAAATCGTACAGTAATAATGTTATTATCTCATCTTGTGAAGATTACAGATGTGAGTAAAGGGAGCTTTAATTGTCGACAAAGACCTAGTTCTTTCGTTTGGTCCAAAATTCCTAAATAATAAAAAAGAAAAAGGTACCCAATGAATAATATTGTCCTTGTAACTAATTTGGATAAGAAAATAATTTCTGTACAGATGGGAGGACAGAAACATACTGCAGCAATTGGAATACACCATTTGCAAACCCAAGTGTAAACTCAGGAAGCAAAGGACCGATTTTCTTATGCCGCAATTGAAACGTCTATATCATAAAGGATTTTAGGAACTGTGCAAGCTCTGTATCGTTCGAACTCTAATTAGGATAAAGGTCACAAATGGCATATATTAAGGTGGGGACGGCCTCATCATGGTAAACAATTCAGAGATATTGGTTTGAAACAGAATATTATAAACCGAGGGGAGCTGCATGATCATGCAAATAGGTGTAAGGCTACAAGGAAAAGATTATAACAGACTAAAGATCATAATGTTCTTCATAGACGAGGAAACTTAAAAAGTATAAATCTTAAATAATTATGGAATGAAAAGAAATGGGATATTCAAATAATAAGGAAAACTGGATCTATAATACTACCTCAGTTCCAAATTACAAGTCCTGACTTTTTTTAGGTGCAAAGCTTTATTTATGCATCTAGATATATTACATTTATATACATAGCAGAACGACTTATAATTTGGAACAGAGGGAGTACTGCAAAATGACTATGGAATGAAAATAAATGTGATGTTCAAATAAGGAATGAAACCTGGATGTTCAAATAAGGCATGGCTATAATTTTTCATCAGTCATGGCATCCCACATACAAAAAAATAGGGAAAACAAAAAAGAAAGGAATTAAACTGGTTCCATGATACACTGATATATGTACTCCTGTTGTGAAAAGGACCACACACATTTCACTTTCGGGCATCTGAAACGTTTCTTTTTTATGGTTCATACTTTGGATATGCATTAGTTTATATATGTAATGCATAATAAAGGGACGAAATTACTGTTGGAAAAGTTTGTACCAATTCAGCATAAAGGCTTTGGTATAAGAATTTGAAAGCGTACAGCCATACAGGCGGTGGCACCAGGTCGGTCGCCTCCAGGACAAGAGGTTGGAACCAACAGGACGGTAGAGGCGGACCTGTTGGGCAAGAGCGTGGGGGTGGGGGCAGCCTGCGAAGGGGCGGCATGTCTTGTGTTTTATGCCATAAGTTAAAAAGTTAATTCGTTCCTTTGTGTTTAATAACTTTTGTATATAAGTTGTGTTTCATGACTTTTTTTTTGTCATAAATACAACTTATTTACAAAAGTTATTCAACACAACTTATGTACAAAAGTTATTCAACGCAACTTATATACATAAGTTATTCTATACAACCTGTTAGTCAGCCATATTAGTCAGGTCTAAAAACAACAGTGTATGCAATACATATTTAGACGGGACAATTGGGCTTCACGAAGCCTACGGATTCAACCTTTAGGCAACCGGCCCACATATCTATACCTAATAATAAAGAGGTATTTTTGTGACAACCATGGTTTGCCTAAGATTAGCCATAGCAAACTATGGCACCAACCAACCCTAAAAGTATCTACTCACGGTCATTTGTGGTTTTTTTGTCTGGTTTCTGCTCAAAAAATGGGCCATCTTTTTGTTTTATTTTTCTCCTGAAAATTGTGGCAAAGCTTTTGTTGTCCTCTTCGAAAAAAATGTTGGGCCTTGTTCGCTTGGATGAATCTAGAGGAATCTGGATGAATCTGTGAGAGAGTGAACAGTGTTTTTCAGCTCCAAACAGTGATTTTCAGCTGCCGTTCATGTCAGCCGAACGGCGCCGTTATGTTTTTACACTTGTTTGTTTGGTCCGGTGAGCTATAAGGTACTTAACTATTGATCAAATATAAAATATTTTGCAAATATAAAATATTTTGTTGTATATCATGTAAAGCATGTGGCGTGGTGGTATGCAATCACTTGTTTGGAGACTTGGGTTTAAACCTCGTGGCTTGTATTTTTGGCGTCTTTTTACAGTTGTGGGTGTTTTTGTTGTTGGGACTCGGATGTGTTGGGAAAAAAACACAGACGGAATAGGGACGGGATGCGAACTGAAACACGGGTTAAACGTGGACTCATAAAGAAAAACGGAAGGAACAGGAAAAAAAATAGTACGGCAGAAATTGAGAAGCAGACTAAAATACGGATTGAAGGTGGACTGGAATATGGATTGAACATAGACCGGAAAAGGAATACACGGAAGGGAGAGGCAGAAAAAAAAAGTACAGCTGAAATGGAGGGAGTGTCATTTTATTATTCCCAGAAATTGTGTTCATGAATACATTCTTCCGAGATTCACGAGCACACCGAGTATAGCACAAAGGAAGCTAAAACCAAAGTGGACAACCATTTCGTTCTAGGAAGGAAGCAGGTTCTAAGGGATCACAGGCCATCATTAACCACCTGGCTATTGTATTACACACTTCCTGAATGATGCTTCAGGAACCCTTTTAAACCACACTACTCTCAATAATAATGATAATTGGTTGAGACATGCATCATGCATCCCTCCACTCAGTAACCACCGCTAGCCCACAACTAGCAAAAGGAATAATAATAATTTCAACATGGAACGCCTAGATTTGAGATCAGAAGTCCACAAGCGTGCTAGAGTTATTCCAGTTGAGTAGGCTTTTATAGCAGCATTATAAAAGCAACAGTTGATTAGTAAGTCAAGTGTCAGAAACTCAGGAGCAATTTGCTCCCCATCAAAATAAGATAAACGGTAGATTTGTGACCTCCATTGACATTTTCACGACAGAATCAGCCGTTCTGTTCTGGACAACACTAGCAAAATAGGTAGGCATGTTCAATCATCACAGAAGTGCACTGTGAACCAACCCATTTACAAGGGCAGAAAACACATACATAGGCATCGCAGCATATATGTCTCTAGGATAGCAGATATCGCAGGTTAACATACAAGAGTGCCACAAGGTTTTACTGGCGGAACAGGACAGTATGTAGTAGTGATGATAATGATATAGGCCTTCGATCTCCTCTTTAAAATGTTAGATTTTTTGGTTCCAAGACCTGCCCTACAGTCAGTTCATCTTTCACATGCCTGACTGTAGGCACAAACCACTTTAATTCTTGTTCTTGGACTTCCCCCCTGCCCTTGGAGCTGCAAAAAGAGAACATATCCAATCAATTCTCACATGTGAAGGTGGGAATACCTAGATCGATTTTCAAACTAAAACAAGGTAAACATTTGAGCTATAAAAGTTCAGCACCAAGGGGAGAGCAGCAAGTCAGGTTATGGAAAAAAAAGTACATAACATAGTGGGTGTCAGGTTATGAAAAAAACGTTTCAAAAGATTAACATGTGATACCATGCTTTTACACCACTAGGTAATGTGCAGTATAAACAACATACCAAGTCCAATTGCATCTGAACCTTTCATGATCCTCAGTCTCCGGCAAGAATCAGTGAACATCCTGTGATTGCACAAAAAAGACGCCAATTAATTGATGGTTCATTGAAATTTTCATGTTTTCCTCATGAAGGGAGTTATAACAATTATAATGGCTGCATGAAGATTCTTTTGCTTGTTCAGATAATTTTAGGCAGTATCGAAACACAAGGCCTACTACCATGCTGTGCCGCATGAAAGTGAGTACACTTTTTAACACAGTTATAACTGGATTAAAATAATCACCAAGTAAAATCGTAAGGTATCATCTTATCACATCTTCTTTAGGATAGCGTCTCATTTTATCTAGAAAGAAGTATATAAGTGGATCCTGTAAAATGTTCAAAAGTTTGCTTCAGAGCCAGAAGCCTTAACCGAGAATTTTACTTTCTGTTTGTTAATGTTATTCTAGTGAGATCAGATCACTGTACTTACTTCCATGGAACATCACCAACCAACATCCAGTCTCCATCCTTATCTTCATAAGTCAGCACAAATTCTCCATCGTTTCTACTCTCAGATGCACCATCCTTGCCTTTTAAGCCATTAGACCCACTCCTACCTGCATAAAGAAAAGAGGAAGTTCTTCTCATACTAAAACTTGCAGCAAAAATACCTAACATGAATCAATAGATCTTATACAACATGTTATTTATTTTTTGTTAACATATCCCTAACATGAAGGAATAGTTATATAGTAGGAGATATAAAAACAGGAAAGTTCCCCATTTTAAATCCGTCTACCTTTTGTGCTGTGAGAGGCTTAGATCCTTAAAAAGCTTGGCACATACTGAAATCTAACATCAGTTAGGCATTCCCTTTCAACATCTTACAAAATCTGTTGCTAATCAAAGGGGAAGTATAGAAAAGTTCTCTCTGCAAGATCTGTTGCTAATCAACTAGTGGTGGTATCGCTATTGCCAATTAAACGTTGATGCACAATAGAAGTAAAATTTGCACATGTCAAAGGAACACCCGTTCAAAAACTGGGACACCAGGTACTATGGTAATCTCCCTCCCTCCCTCCCCACTTATCAGCATTAAGCACTGGAAGAGATGCTTCAACATAGAAGAGGTCTTTTTTGTTCAACATAAATACCACAAGCTCAAAATAGGCATTTTGTCTGATGCTTTAGAAGGCCAAATTTTCGAATGAACAATCCCAAAATGAGACTGTATCTGTAATACACAGACTTACAGGCCTCAAAAGCATCCTCCATGTTGCCTTTATGAACCTTGAATTTGATGGAGATTTCCAAACAAGAATTATAGTGGGAAAATTTCTTTGGAAGTGTAAATACACATTTCTTCTACTCCACGTGAAATTTGGTTGCAGCTTAAAATACACCCAATCAATCTTACCAGTGCTGAAGTCAACAAACATTTTCTCGAGCCCCAAAGACAGTTCCTTGTAGCTCTTGTAAGTCTTGAGGTCGACTTTCCTCAGATATGGCGCGCCATCCATGCTGACCTTGACATACAGAAATCCCTGCCCCTGCTTGGCATCAGATTCTTCCTTGCTGCTCTTTAGCTGGCTGGTCGCCATTGTGTTCTTGCGGTAGCTGCGAACTGGTGGCCATCCCACCACCTGGGCCCTGAAGAAACACATAAACCGTACATGAGTGATTCGGCATGTAATCGGAACTGGTCTGGGAGTGAATGCAGTAAGAATTTAATTTTAAACTCCATGTTCAGACCAAAATGAACCAAGGAAGATGAAGCAAATCACAAAGTTTGCAGAATGAAATTGAATTGGTGAGGAAGGCTGATTTCTGAGGATTTCAATTCAAACTTGTAAGATACCACGAAAAAGGCACAGGTAATTAATCTTAGACAAAAGGAAGTACTCAGAGAAATTAAGTAAAAGAAGTCCGAGATGGTAGAAAAACTCCAGTTGCAGGTTCCCAATTTACGAACCCAAGAGATCGAGTTAAATCCGGAACTCGGGGCTCTAAAACCAAAGCTATAGGCTAAAAATGTGCCTTTGAGCACCAGATTCTAACCCAACAAAGATTAAAAAGAAGTTCTTTTACAAACTAACTGCAAGAACTGAAACAGCATGCGACAACTTCTTTTACAAACTAACTGCAATAATTGAAACAGCATGCGACAACTTACACAAAAAATTGGCCCTTTCTGAAGCTAAACTAAGGGGTTTTTTGGTTGCCCCTCCTAAATTTTAGTCGTTGTCCTATTGGATATTTGACATATGTATGGAGTATTAAATATAGACTAATTACATAGTTTGCAACTAATTTATGAGACGAATCTTTTGAGCCTAATTAGTCCATGATTTGACAATGTTTGCTACAGTAAACATATACCAACGACGGGTTATATTGACGGATTATGTAATTTATTTTTTTATTAGTATCCAAACACCCCATGCAACGTCCTCCCAACACACTACATTTGTAGCCAAACACCCCCTAAACTAAACCCATCCTATCGCGGCAACTGGCCAAATTTGTGTGCTAAAGCAGAAAATAATAGCTCCCACCACCCCCCAAAATCCAAATGGGCTGCGCCCGTCCACGCATCCGGCATCCCACATCCCCCGAGACATCCACAACCAGAGAGAATCAGCAGGAGGCACCCACTTGGCAGCCGGCTGCGGTGGCGCGGCGACCTTCTTGTCCCCCTCCCCGCGGACCTCCGCCTCCGCCTGGTTGCCGTCCCCGGAGGCTGCGGCTGGCGGCACCTGGGCCTCGTGGGCGAAGACGCGCTTGGCGCCCTTGGACGGCAGCAGGTCGAGCGTGGGCGTGGCTGCGGTGGGGCGGCCGTCCGGCGACTCGGAGCCCGGGAGGCCGAGGCGGAGCTCCGTGCCCCTGAGGTCGTCGTGGGCCATGGTGCCTGTCGGCGCGAGGCCTATGTAGTCGACATGGTCGTGAGGCGGCAACATGGGCAGGACATGAACCGGGGGAGGAGGATGAGGTGGTGGAGCTGGAGGCGGAGACGGTGGTGGTGGTTTGATTCGAGCAGGAGGGAGATGAGGTGAGCTGTTGTGAGGAGAGTGGAGCGAGTAGAGGCTATAGACTGACACAAACAGTAGCTCGCCCCACCACAGTCTACAGTATCTGATGCTGTTGCAATCTGCCATTTGTTTGTTCATTTCCCTCCATATTTTTTTGGCTAGTATGTGCTGTGGCAGTTTTAGGCCTTCTTTAGAATGGAGCATTAGAAAAAGATTTTTAAAGGGTTCAACTTCCTTCGAAATTTTTCTTATACACCCCGAAACATTTTGTGGGAATTGGGATTGTATTCCTATGGATTGATTTCAAAAGAAAATAAGCAAGAGGCCAGACCTCTCGGAGAATTTCCTAGTTTGAAAACAAACGTTTCACATATGTCGCTCGCTCTCATCCGAGATGCACTTCATGCATTTGGCGGTAAATTCAAAACCAGGAACGTCATAAACCTTTGTTTTTCCTGTGATGCTACCAACGGCTCCCTCATCTCTTTTTAGTGTTTTTAGTTACTATAGGATTTGGTAAATATGGCACCTCAACTCCTTTTTTTCCCTATTCCGGTATTTTCTCCATCCTGTGTTTCAAGGATGACCTAGTTTGGTATTTGGTTGGAGGGATATGGTCATGTTTTTTTTGTTTGGTTTGAGGGATGAAGAAGGATAGGACCCGCTAGCAATAGTCAGGTGGGGCCCACATGTCATACTCATTTTACCTTCCTCCTTTCATCTCCCAAAGTAGAGTAGAGAGTATATCCATGGTTGCTGTTCCGGTTTGTTCGCCCTTCCTCGTCAACATGCCTGCATAGCAGCTCCGTATAGCCACCCCTCCTTCACTACACAACAACCTCACCCCGACCACCCTGCGCTACAATCTCCCCGAAGGACGGGGTTGCCTGGTCTGACGACGCAATTGGTGGGGGGGGCATAGCTAGCCCGAAGTGACGGTGTGCGCAGGGCTGTAGCGGGTCATGGATCGACGACGTGCACGAGGGCCAGTGCGGGGCACAAGTGGATCAACATCTTGAGAAAGAAGAAGGCCTGGAGACGAACAAGGAACGACGTTGAGAGGGGATGATGTGGTACGTCAGTTTTGTAGGAATGAGTAGGGATAATTCTATCCCACCTATCCACGAATCAAACACTGAGACAAAGTGGTGTATCTCACTTCTTCTCTGTCCCGCCCCCCTAACTAAACACACCCTAAAGGACACATTTGGTGTTGCTCGAGCTAGTGCCGCTTTCTTGTGACAATACAATGTAATATTGTCAACTATTGTAGCAAGGAGTTCTTTCGTAAACTGAAAAGAAATGGGTTAAATAACAAAGATATGAGAAAAGCCATAAGTTGTGGATTGATGTGAATTAAATTAATGACGCCTCGAGAAAAATCATAATATATATTGTTCACTAGACGTGGATTGATAAAAAATATACTCCCCCGTCTATGAAAGAATGCAATTATGGTAATCATGCCGGTCAAACTGGCTCAAGTTTGACCAAGTTTATAGTAAATAGTATTAGCACTTATGTCTCCAAATAAATTTATTACGAAAATTTATTCTATAACTGATCTAATGGTATATATTTTGTCTCATGTGTGTTAGTACACTTTCATATAATTTTAGGCAAAGTTTAAACTTTTTGACTTCTCGGGACGTGAGAATTATATTCTTTTGTGGACGGAGGAAGTAGCTTGATGTGGATTGAAATGTATGGGGGATTAGAGGCGGATTGAAGAAGACAAGCTAAGATTGGGTTGATTTGACCGTGAAAGGAGTTATATAGGATTTCTAGGGGGAGATGGAAGAAGAAGATGGATCCACAACTAAACACATTAGTTCCAAGTGCAACTTGTTTATACAATCAACCAAACATTAAATTATGCTACGTTCCACTATACCAGTTAGCTAGGTAGTGTTATATAAAGACTTAGGCCTGGTTTAGTTCCTAAAAATTTTTCACCCAAACTATCACATCGAATCTTGCGGCATATGCATGGAGTATTAAGTATAGACAAAAAAAAATTAATTGCACAGTTTGGTTGGAAATCGTGAGACGAATGTTTTAAGACTAATTAGTCCATGATTAGCCATAAGTGCTACAGTACTAACATGCGCTAATGATAGATTAATTATACTTAATAAATTTCGTCTCGTAGTTTTCAGAGGCGAGCTATGTAATTAGTTTTTTTATTAGTATTCGAAAAACCCTTCCGACATCTCCGAAACATCCGATGTGACATCTAAAAATTTTTATTTCGCGAACTAAACACAACCTTAATGCAAATTGAGCTAGTGCAAGCAACTAATCATGTCCCGTTCATTTTAAATTATAAGTTATTTTATCTTCTATATATATATTATTTGCTATATATCTAGATATGTGCTATGTCTAAATATATGACAAAAGTTATATACGACTTAGGATACACCAAGCGTGCTAGCATCACCCAACAGTAATTTCACTAGTGCGGCAGCAGTAACCAACAGAGTCACGAGCCTTGCTCTGTTGCCTATCATGTCATGAACGGACATGAGCGGCGTCAGATCACGCGTGCCGTCCTCCATGCATCCTTTACAGTAACACGAACGAGAAAGAAGAAGAACGGCCGGGTCCCCGACGACGGACCACAAGCGTAGTGCGCGTGATATGTATGATCGAGTTGGTGCCCGTGGTGGTAGCCTCCAATCTCCATCGATGATCACGCACTAGTCACTACATACATCTGCAGTTGAGCTCCTGATTCTGATTGATTGGATCGGAGAGGCTACAAGTTGCAGCATCGATCGATGATCATCGTCGGGCTTTATTTCAGACTCGCCGTACGTGTTCAGACTCGCCGCATACATCTCGATCGACGTGTCCGCGATCAAACTTTATCGCCGGCTTAAAAGATTCGTCTCGTGATTAACCAACTATGCAATTAATTCTTTTTTATCTACATGCATGCGTCAAAATCTCGATCGAAACTTTGATGTCATCTGAACAAGACCCACGTACGTCCGGCGCGCGGTCCATGCATCCTCTGCACAGCCACACGCATGTGCCAGGCGCCGGCGACGCCTCCAGTGTGTCGACCGGACATTGGGAGCTCCTCCGATCCGGCCGGTCGCTGTCGATCCGAGACAGACACATCCTGAGACCCACACCCAGCAGGCCGCCAGGCCCCAGCAAAGGGATCGATCAGCCGCCCAACCAGGTTCAGTGCGCATGCATGCACGTCGTTTTCAGAGAGGCAGCTGGCTCAGTGCAAGCAAATGCATGCCATGTCCAGGAGCACCGAGCAGCAAGTTTGCAGTCTCAACTGCTGGAAGGGCATCGTTCAGTTCCATTCAAAAAAATTACACCCTATCCAATCAACTGTTTGTATTAAATATAAACTAAAAAATAACTAATTACATAGTTTATGACTAATTTAGGAGACGGATCTTTTAAATCTAATTAGTCTATATTTGACAATATGGTGCTACAGTATCACATGTGCTAATGACGGATTAATTAGACTTAATAAATTTGTCTTACGATTTACTGATGGATTCTGCAATTTGTTTTTTTATTAGTATCCAACACCCCATACAACATCCCGATATGACACCTAATGTGACACCCTACAATTTTACACCCTAAATTTAAACACGCCCATAGTGTGGTGGCGAGCAATGGACAGCAGTGTGCACACTTGGTTGGTTGGATATATTTGGATGTAGCAAATGGCCGGCCGGCCGACAGTCCCACAAATTAAGCGTCGGTGGTGCATAGTACAACGTCTTCATCAGGCTGATGAGTGAGTGATGAGCAAATCCCAAGTCCCTCCCAACTGAAAAGCGAAATGCACAGCAGGCTAGGATCTTCTGTTATTCTAGCATGCTTACTGTGTGTGTGTTACGTGGCAGTGATTCATGAGGCTGCTTGCCTGGACCAGCACAACCGCCGAACAGCCCGAAATGCAAAGGATCTTCCGTTATTCTAGCATGGGCTGTGTGTTACTAGCGGCGTTTGCTGCTGGACCGACCTGAGCCTAACTTGTAGCGTGGGCGAGCTTGCTTTTGCGCTTAAACTGACTTGTTTCATTGCGAATTCGGCCCGGCCCAGCGAGTTGGTGTTTGTGACCCAATACTCGGTAGGGCTCAAATGCTAACCGCCACCAACTGCCGAAAGCACAGATTGTGTTTGCCATTCTTTGTGCTCGGCACCGCCCAAAGAGAAGGAAGAATAACATGATCAATAGAGAAGCAAACACTTTGAATGAAAATGTACAAAAGACATAGGCCTCGGACTAATTCTATTTAATCAACACATACATTTGGCTACATTGCATAATCAAAGAACCAAATTAAGAACGAGAGGCGAATTAAGTAGTTTGGCAAGCCAAGAAGGGCAACAAGTTAACGAGAAAAGAGAGTACATGAATCAAAGTGGCATGTAGCCGACTAATGTAGCCATCCTATTGTGTCATCATCGGCCTAATTAAAACAAACAGGTGTGGCATATGAACAACTTGAGTGACAGACCAACTACAACCATAAACAAGATCAAGATGACAACATTTTTGCAACAACCTTGCAGCCCGGTGAATGATGATAGATTTGAGAACCTTGAGTCATCACCGAGTTCATAGGATGTTGATGCATCCTCATGAGGGGCATCAATTGTAGTAATGACAAGGGTTCTTGAGGTGACCCTTGCATTAAAATCTCTAAGAGCATCATCATAGTTGTTGTACTTCTGATAGATAGCTCCTTCTTCCATAAGCACTTGCTTAGCACACTCATACCATGTAAAATAAATCACAGGTTTCTTCCCTTCAAAGACCACATAGTAAGGAGGCATTCTCTAAAACCAACCAAATGTAGAACATGTAAGTGGTCTGAATGATATGC